GCTGGATAGTGATAACGCAGACTTTACAAAAACAATGAAACTGCTGCTGGCATTTTTAGAAAGAAAGAGAACTTAAGTGTGACAAAAGGCTAATATTGAGGACTCCAAGGGTGGCATCTTCGGTGCTCTTGGGATGATCGCAATTTTCAGCTCATGTTGAGGTATTTTTCTTTAGTGCTTTTGACTGCCATGTATTTGTGTAATAGGTGTCACTGTAGAATTTGTTTTCTCTTGAAGTCAGGTAAAGCAAAATTTTTGCAATGCATTGGATTTCTTGTTGTGTGGTAACTAATTATGATAATTAGTTCATGTAAAAGCCCAGGGATTTCATGGCATTTTTTTCCCTTCTGGAATGAGAAATTACTTTAATGACTGAATTTTGATGCTTGAATCTCAGTTCTTTTAGTGAGAGCATTGAAAGTGTAATAACAAAATACTAGCCAAAGGTGGCACTGTGTTTTTTCTAAATGTTATGAGACATTTGAAAAAAGTCCATTTATACTCTTGTTTGTTGAATTGATTATTGTGTATTAATGGAAATGAACAATGTCAGACTTTCTGGTTTAATAACATAGACAATTCCATTTCCTTTGTAGGTTCATTATCTTGCTCCTATAATGACATTATGCTAAAGTAAACACACAGAAATTTGAATCTAGATGAGTCCTTATTAACCATCTATTTAGTCCCTCTCTCCTTTTTATTAGTGAGGAAACTCTAGGTGCCAGACTAGCAGATGCAGCAATTTGCAGACAATTTGCTGTCAGAGCTGGGGATAGAATGTGAACATCTCAATTTCTGGTTTCGTAGAGCGTCTTCATTATACAAACTGCCACAGAATGAAAACTTTGCCTTGCACTGGCATTAAATCCTTATCAGGCTCCGTAGGAATTAGGTCCTTAGCAATGGGATTATTTGTAACTAGTGTATGAATTAGCAGAATTTGCAACTGGAGTGCGTAGCTTGGGGGGGGGGGCGCGATAGCGTCCGGAGACAACCTCAACTCACGTGTTTGCTTCCTAAGTGGGGTGACACTGAACAGAGTGAAAGCTGGGACTCTGCATTTTTCCATATCTCTTGAGTTTATCAACAGAAATTGAAAAAGCTTGTTTCAATCCCGGAGAATTTAGGTAGTTGTGAACTACTACTTATATGTCTCTGTTTGCTGACAGCAGTTACTCAGTTTATTCTGAGCATGGACTCTTTCTCATGACATTAATGGAATAGGTCTAATGGAAGAGCTTAGCCTATTAAGGAAGAGCTTAATAGGTCTTAATGGAAGAGCTCACAGTACAATGGTGGAGAATAAAAGAGAAGTTGAAAGATGCAGTGCATACAGGGAAGGGTCAAATTATGTCAAAAACATATATAAATGAGCTTATAATTTTATATCATTTAACAGTGCCCTATAAGAGAACACTGTTTTCCTAGAATATGATGTGTGTGTGCCAGGACTGGGTAGAGATTTTACTTCTCTTGTACTGCATCTGATCAACCCCTTAAATAAGGGTATCAGAAGAGATTCAGGGTTCTCTAATTTTCATTTCTTCACTATGGATATTTTATATCCTTTCTTTATCTGTGTGTCCCTTCTGATGTGGGCTTTGAGAGCATGTGTAGTGTTCACTTTCATATGTGTCTTCCACATAATGCTAAGCAAACATGGGGCCGGTGTTGTTAGACCCATTTCAAGAGTTGCTACAGCCCAAGTCGTTGAAAATTGTGGTTAGTTGTGAGAAAAGGTGTAATTTGCTGATACAAACTGTGTTGTTACTGAATTTGGTTTGAGTCTGTGGTCACTGTCCTGTAATACTAAAAAAATTTAACCACTAATCACTTCTTCATGTACTCACTCTCGATAGATAAAATGCTGAAGAAAAGTACAAACATAGTCAAAAGGAATTGACACAACTAAAGTTGAATTGACTTTATTTTCAGTCTCAATGGTAGAATATAGCTAAGTCATTTAAATATTTGTCGTAAGACCAAAATTCTGCAGTTTCAAAAAAATTGTACAGTTAGTATTTCTTATAAAGATACTTTGGGAAATTAGGCAATTGAGACTGCAAAAATCAATTGAAAGTATTTAAGGGGGCCTCCCCAGTGGCACAGTGGTTGAGTGCTGGATTGCAAAGCTGCCCGCAGCCTCTGCAGTGCCGGTTTGATCCCTGGCCGCTGGACGAGGGTCCCACGTGGCGCGCAGACCTCTCCTGCTGCCCGCTGCTCCCCTCAGCAGTGTACTTCATCGGTCTGCCTGTTCTGTTCCCCTCTCTGGCTCTGGTGAATTCTCTCACCCTCCCGCGCTTCTGACTGTACCCAGTGCTTGTATAAATAAATAAATAAATCTTAAAAAAAAAGAAAAGTATTTAAGGAAATATGATTAGTGAGGAAGAAAGGATCCATCTATTTTAGGGTTTGCCCAATCTGCTACAATAATTTTATTTTTTTGCAAGATTGAATGTCCAGTTTATTCCTTATACAATTGGTCCTTGTAAGGGTCTAAGGCAGAAAGAAAGCACAGAGGGCTAAGTTTGCTAGTCATGTGTTAGTACAAAACAGCTGACTTCTTCCCTGAGACATATCCAGAGGTCAGTGTGAAGCACTGAAAATACGGCATATGGACTGGAGTCTTTTGTAGGAAATAATTGTACTAGCTCATTGAATTTTTTCTGACTTTAAAATTGTGACTGCTCTGGCATTATACCCAGATAATAATGTGAAAGAAAAGAAATTCTGGATTTAAAATTGGTGCTAGAAGATTTGAAAATATACCAGAGATTTCTGAATGTGAAATAATTCAACATAAGAGTGTCCCTTTTCCAAAGACAATAAGCTGACATGAGAATATAGATTTAAATGAGTTAAAGGAGTTAACTGTGGCAGGCACATGCTGTCCTGAGCCCTTGCAGCGGGAGTTTGTGGTGTGTTCAGAGAATAGATAGTTCAATGGGGCTGGAGCTGAGTGAGTGAGTGGATGGGTGTTTCATAGGAGTAATGTCAGAGCACATGAGGGGAGGGTGGAAAGGAAATCCATGTTGACTTCTAAATGGCATTTGGAGGCTGTGTGGCCTCAGTGTGTATTTCATCTTATATGCAGGACATGTAGAGATGTGAAGGACCCTGTAGGATATTGTAAGGGTCTTATCTTTTTACTCTTAGTGAAGTGGGGGGCTTGGAAGATTTGCAGATGAATGACATGACTTACGTTTAAAAGGATCATTTTGGCTTTTGAGAATAGATTGACGGGAGCAAGGGACACCAGTTAAAAGATTATTGCAATAAACCAGGTGAGGGGGAGTAGTATTCCATTGTATGAATGTACTGTTCATATGTTCACTTTCTCCCCAGCTTTATTGAGCTATATTTGACATGATAAGGTTGTATTAGTCCAAGGTGTACAACATACATGTATTATGTGAAATGTATTGCCACAATAAATTAATATCACCTCTAATAGCTACAATTTTTCTTTGATGAGGACTTCTAAATCACTCTGTTTACAACTTTCAGTATACAATATTAGTATTGTTAAGTATAGTCACCAGAATTTATTTATGCTATAACTGGAATTTTTTACCTTTTGATCACCTTTATCTACCTCACCACTACTGCCCACTCCCACCTCCTCCTTCAGCAACCATCAGCCTGTTGTTGGCATCTATGAGTTTGTTTTTTTAGATTCCACATACAAGGGAGACCACATAGTATTTGTCTTTCTTTTGAATTATTTCATTTAGCATAATGACCCAAAGAGGTCCATCCATGTGGTTGCAGATGACAGATTTTCCTTCTTTTTAATTCCTCTGTGTGTGTGTGTGTGTGTGTGTGTAATTTTCTTTACCCACACACCCATCATCGGATGTTTAGGTTATTTCCATGCCCTGGGTAGTGTAAATAATGCTGTAGTGAACATGGGGACATCTCCTCTTTTTGATGATAGCTGTACTAACAGGTGTAACACTGTGGTTTGGGTTTGCATTTCTTTAGTGATTGGTCAGCATTCACTTATTGATAAACATCTGAGTTGTTTCTAGTTTGGGGGTAAGACTTCTATGTGACCAAGGCTTCTATGAATATTTGTCACAGCCTCGTGTGGACTTGTTTTCAGATAAATCTCTAGGAATGGAAGGACTGGGTCACGAGAGGGATGTGTTTCAGTCTTAAGAAAACCCTGAACAGTGTGCTAAAGTGGTGGTGCCATTTACATTCCTGCATAAGGGAGTTCTAGTCCTTCCACATCCTGTGGACACTTGGTTTGTTTAATGTTAGTATGAAATGGTATTTTATTTTGGTTGATTATGTGTGTCATGGCACCTTATTATGGAATTAATTTGCTTTTTCCCTGATGGCTAATGTTGATTAGGAGTGTCTACATTTTAGTGTTTCAACCTATTTTATCCTCATTATTGAAACTTTGGTTTTTTCATTGAGGTTCACAATAATTTTTAAAAAGTACTGAAATGATGTATTATGATTTATTAAATGTTGGCAGTTGTATGGTTTGGGGGAAAACTAATACATTTAAAATTAAAGTATAGGTGGCCTCCTTGGTGGTGCATGGGATTAAGATGCAAGTATGAAGCAAGTGGCAGCCACTGCAGCACGAGTTCGATCCCCGGCCAGGGAACTACCCACATGGCGCAGCAGACCTCTCCTGGCTCACCCGCTGCTCCCCTCAGCAGTGTATTTCAGTAGATCTGCCTGTTCTGCTCCCCACTCTGTCTCTGGTGACTCCTCTCATCTCCCACACCTCTGGCATGCACTCCGGTTCTTGTATGCATAAATAAATAAATCTTTAAAAAAAATGAAAGTATAATAATGATATCATTCAGTTCCAATCATACTTTTAATTCATTGATGTCGGATAGTGTATGTTTTATCTTAGATAAGGTCTGTTCCTTTCTACATTTTATCATTTAGAATGAAAATCCCATGTGATAATAGCAGATCTTGAGAAACACCCATGATCTCTGAGTATTCCACGTTGGATTCTCTTGCAGGTTCCAGATGTTATCAGCAGCATAAGACAGTTATCTAAAGCCGCCATGAAAGAGGACGCCAAACCCAGCAAGGACACCGAGGACGCCTTCTACAACTCGCAGAAGTTCGAGGTCTTGTACTGCGGAAAGGTGACGGTGACGCACAAGAAGGCCCCGTCCAGCCTCATCGACGACTGCATCGAGAAGTTCAGCCTGCACGAGCAGCAGCGCCTGCGCATCCAGGGGGGCCCGGGGGTCTTCGAGGAGGTGGTGCACGATTCCCTCCCAGACATTCTGTCGGAGGAAGGAGACGGCAACCTCCCTACCCCTGCAGCCTTACCGGCCGTCACCAGCCAGCTGGGGCTGTCCAGCTCTCGAGGGTGCTTCCCTGAGCGTATTTTGGAAGATTCTGGCTTTGATGAGCAGCAGGAGTTCCGCTCTCGCTGCAGCAGCGTCACCGGCGTCCTGCAGCGCAGAGTTCACGACGGCAGCCAAAAGCCGCAGCCCAGAAGGAGACACGCCAGCGCGCCCAGCCACGTGCAGCCCTCGGATTCGGAGAAGAACAGGACCATGCTGTTCCAGGTGCGCCCTGCGGGTGCTGGCGCCTGTTTCTCAGGCATCACTGAAGCAGAGGCTCCGGGCGTGCAGAGCTTCATTTTGCAATAATCAAACTTTTACTATTCCACGTAGCCCGCATCCCAGTCCATGCAGAGGAGAGGGAGCCGAGAAAAGACATTATTATTTTTTTTACACATAACTGTCCCCAATATTTATTTATTTTTTTACATCACTGTTCATTTTTAAACAATATCTGCTTCCCCCACCCCCTCAGGTGTAGTCCACATAGGGTTTCCTTCCCCAAGGCACCCGTGCACCATCACCCCAGTCCCCTGTGCGCCTCCCTCCCTCCCTCTGATCCCTCTCCCGCCTCCTCCCCTGCAGGATGTCTCTGGTTTATAATCATCTGTTTTTGTTTTGTTGTGTTTTGTACTGTTGTTATTTTTTTACACTGATGTCTTACTGGGTTCCCCTATATTCCTGCTATAAGTGAAACCATCTGATATTTTTTTTCCCCCCTCTGGCTTAGGTCACTGAGCTTAATTCCTTCTAGTTCCATCCACATTGCTGTGAATGGCATGAGTTTATCTTCTTTGATTGCTGAGTAATATTCCATTGTGTACATATGCCACATCTTCTTGAGCCACTCATCTATTTTTGGGGCATTTGGGTTGTTTCCAGGTTTTACCTATTGTCAGTAGTGCTGCAGTAAACACAGGGGTACAGGTGTTAAACTGAGGCTGTAAGAAGCAGGGAGCAGGGAAGGGAGAGGACAACAAGGCAATGAAAGGAGCGTGATTGGAAACCTGCTGGAAAGGGTAAGAATAGATTACTCTTAGAATCACCAGCACTTGCCTCAGGTGGATTCTTAAAAAAATTGTCTTTTTAGTAACTGCAGTGAACTAATCTGATCAAATATTTAAAGATGTGAATCTGGGAGAGTGCGACTAGGCCTGGAGTTAAAAAAGGGTTTTCTAACCTGGAAACAACCCAAATGCCAAAAAATTGATGACTAGATCAAGAAGATGTGGCATATACACACAATGGAATATTATTCAGCAATCAAAAAAGATAAGCTCATGCAATTTGCAGCAACATGGATGGAACTAGAAGGAATTATGCTCAGTGAAATAAGCCAGAAGGAAAAAGAAAAATATCGGATGGTTTCACTTATAGCAGGAATATAGGGGAACCAAACAAGACATCAGTTAAAAAAAATAATAACAGTACAAAACACAACAAGGCAAAAACGGACAATTATAAATCAGAGACATCGTGCAAGGGAGGAGGCGGGAGAGGGATCAGAGGGACGGAAGGAGGAGCACAGGGGACTGTGGTGATGGTGCACGGGTGCCTTGGGGAAGGAAATTCTAGGGGGACTCAATCTGAGGGGGTGAGGGGAAGCAAATCTTGTCTAAAAAATGTAAAAAAAAATGATAAATGTTAAAAAAAAAAAAATGGCCAACAGAAAAAAAAATGTTTTTCTAGAGAGAGGGGGAAAAAAACAAGTCCAGAGGCGCCTGCATGTTTACACTTTCCCAGACAGGGAAGGTTAAGGAAACATCATGGGCCTGATAATTTACTACATCAGTTGTTAAACTAGCTGGAAACAAACAACACGATAGGAACATGATAGTAAATGATAATTTTTAATTCCGAAAAGTAGTGTAGGAAGTTGTACAGGGTATAGAAAATGTCAGGTTCTATTCAAAAGAACTTAATTCATAACAATGCCTTATAATGCTCACCTTGTAAGATCTGAGTTCCATTGTGAAAATCAGCGACTGTCATTTTACCCTGCTGTAAAGAACCCTGGAGAAGGAAATTCCACAGCTTGCCTTGGGACACAGTCTCAGTGTATAACATTTGCTTTATCACACAGTTAACAGGGTTTGGTTTTGTTTTGTTCTTGGTAATTCCAGTCATGCAATTAAAGTGTCTATAGGACTTTTTTTTTTTTTTTTTTTTTTTTTCTGATATGCTGAGTTTCTCCTCTTTGGGCTACTAGTGTTGTTCTTTCTCTTAATTAGCCATAATCCTTGCTGTTAATTTCTCTGAATGATTATTTAAAAGATTTTAATTTATCCACCCATTTGCAAATCTGTATTTTTTGTTGATTAATTGGGAGAAACTGTGATTATAAATTGTAATCAAATAATTAGTATTTTTAGAAATCATGAGATGAGGGAAGGTGGTTTTTTATAGTCATTTCAAGCCTGAAGGAGAATTTATAGTATCTAGTAAATTAAGACCAACTTAATTTCATGATTTTTATACAAAAGGAGAAAGAGTTTTGAAGCAGGTGATACTGGAGTTTGAAATACTGTAAGATGTAATGCACATGTGAATTTGTAGAACTGGGATTATCATTTGACTCTATATTATTAGTTGATTATTTAATCCTAAGTAAGATATTAGTCCCCGTGAGTGGAGAGTAACTGGCATGTTTTTATTTTTAAGGTTGGACGGTTTGAGATTAACCTTATCAGTCCAGACACTAAATCAGTTGTGCTTGAAAAGAATTTTAAAGATATTTCTTCTTGTTCTCAGGTATGTATTGCTATAGATCATAGTATTTGAAGAAACCAACAGAATGTAGTTTCAGAATTTGCCACAAAATAACTGAACTTTCAACCTTTAAATTTTAGTATTTTTTAAAATTTCACATTTAAAAAAAAAATGAGTTTGCCCGTAAGTGTTTTGTATCTATGCCAGTAACAACATCCTGCCTAGGTCCCTGGTATCACATTTTGTCATCCTGTTCATCAGCTGTCTCCTCCAGACATCACTTCTTGAGATCATCCACTACAGGGGATTTTGTGGTGGTGGTATTTGATATTTGAGTGTTTCTTAGAATCTTGGGCAGTGGGACTTGTGGGTATCACTGAGTCAGCCTTGCTCTTTACACTGTGGTAGCCAATGAAAGGAGAACTAGTACTTTCAATTTCTATTAATGTAAATGCTGAATTTTGAAGAGAAGTCTTTGCTATAGCTTTGCTTGTTATTTTTAATTCACAAATTATCTGAAAGTTTTTGAAATAATCAATACCACTCAAAATGTACAAGGTTACAATATTAGACTGGTATCCTAGAGTACCTAGTAATAATTTAGAACATCTCTCTCAAGATTAGGGCTACTTAAATGTAAACAAAGAATAATGGAGTAGAGAGAGTACCTAAATCTAAGTAATGGTGAGGTTAGAAATGTAAGGATGCTTCTGAGGGTTTCCTGGAGTAGAGATGGAGTCATTTCTTTCCTAGCAAGATGAGACTTTAGGGTGAATCAGTCAGGCTTTTTGCGCCACTAGCCTCTGCGGCTATCACATGTGGCCTTTGCCGTATTAATGCAGAGGCGCTTGGGATTGTGGGTACGGGGCACAGGTGACTGATTGTGAACACCTGGAGTGTGGGTGTGGGCATGTGTAAGCGTGCACACCTGAGTCTACAGGCCAGGGCTATATGAGGCGTCACAGACAGGACAACGTCTATCAGAGGACGAGTGACTGCAGAAGAAGCAAAACCACCAGAGAGAAGGCCAGAGAGAGAGGAGAGAAAGAGTAAAGATTTGTGGGGGCCGGGAGGCTTGGTTGCCTGCTGTAGGGTAAGGTAAAGTATCAGGCTTTTCTGCCCTCCTGCCGTTAGGATTGATGATGGATCCCTGTGGTCCTGAATGTATGCCTGATGGTGGGCACCTGGAGTAGGGTGTGGGCATATGTAGGTGGGTGCACCTGGGCTGAGAGACTGGGCTTATAAGGGCGGCATCACAGAGATGCCAGTGGAACAGTAGAGCAAAAGAGAGAGCGAGCAGAGAAGCAAAGGGCACGAGAGAATGCCGGAGAGCCCAGATAGAGTGAAGACTTGTGGGGGGCTGGGAGGCCTGCCAGCCTCCTGGCACCCCTGCCTGCCGTGTACCTGGTAAATCCCAATGAAGCTTGCAAAGCTACCAAGGGCTCTCCTTGGTAGACATCTCCTTCACCCATTTGCTCAGGTCTTAGAGAACCTGCCCTGTACTCTTCCTGTCACTACACCTGCCTGCCTCCAGTCCCCCCTCTGCCCGGCCCACGCCTGCACGCCTGCCATGCCTGCCTGCAGGCTCACCACAGCAGTGACTCAGATGTACCTTCAGGGACCTGGATCTTGACTAGGTCCCTTGCTGTATTTTAATGTTGAAAAATCAAGACTGATTTTTCCTTTCACATTTTCGAGTCAGCATTGCCATAGGTGTGACGGTCAGACTTTCTTCCCTTTGAAAATGGCAAGAAAATTTTTGTACATCTTGTTAATTGTTGGCCTCAGCTAGTGCAGTTTCCTGTTTATTATGTTATGTGGAGACATAAAATTATGTCATGAGAATGAAAATTTTCTATTCAAATTATGGAGAAAGGAAGCATCTGAATATAGGAAGGAGGTATTGCAGATTTCTAAATACATATCTGAAGGACAAAAGATTTATTAGAAAGATTATTGACTGAAAAAGTATAAGCTTCTTGTTATTACCTGTTTAGTGGTGGGGAGGGGGGCGATGAATTATTATTACCTGTTTAGTGGTAGGGAGGGGGGCAATGAATTATTATTCTCTATAATAAGACCATCAGAACAAGATGTATTAATAGAGAGCTTAGCACTTAAGGGTTCAACAAATATTCCATGAACATTTCTACATGTGCCAAGTATTGGGGAGTGGTATACAAACTAAGGTAGTACCTGCCCCCTGGAACAAGAATACTCATCCAAAAAACCTTTGATCTTTGCCTTTGACCCCACGCCCCCTAAACCTTCCAGTGAAGAATCTAGCAATGCCCATAATACATCCAAATACACTAACAAACCAAGTGGAACCAGCCAAACCAAATATTTAAAACTGGCAGCCCAAAAGCAATTTTTGCAGTTGCTTTTTCTATTTTTTCAGAGTAAACTTTATATTCTGAGTTTCTAGTTCAGAAAAAGAATGAAACAAAATAGGAGGGACTTTCGTGGAAAGGCCTTTGATCAGAATAATTGTCAGGTTAACGTCTGCTTCCCACCAAGTGGCCCTGAGTCTACTGCTTCTTGCCATAAGATTGCATTGATCAAATGTGACTGCATTCAGAAATAAGCATGTATTTTTTAAAGATTTATTTATTTATGCATACAAGAACTGGGGTACAGGCCAGAGGTGTGTGTGGGGGTGGGGGTGAGAAGATTCACTAGAGCCAGAGTAGGGAAGAGAACAGGCAGATTGATTGAAACCCACTGCTGAGGGGAGCAGTGGGTGAGTCACGAGACGTCTGCTTTGCCATGTCAGTAGCTCCCTGTCCAGGGATTGAACTCAGGCTGTAGTGGCTGTGGATAGCTTCATAGTGCTGCATCATAACCCCTTGCGCCACCAGGGAGACCCTAAACACGTTTTTTTCAACACACACACACACACACACCTACAAACATATCCATCTTCCAAATCTGTGAGACTGTTTCTCTGGGAGTGGTTTTCTTTACTGGAAACATGGTCTCTGCCTGAAGACTTGCTGAGCCAATGAGGACCCATGGATGCTTCCCATTTAGTGCTTCTAAGCTAGCATGAGCTAGCCTGTCATCACCAATAAGTTGTACCAATAAGTTGTACCAGATGAAGCTGATTTTTACCTTGTGAGTTGTTACCGCCTCTTTTTTAACCTTTTCTTTTTACCAGAGTTGACTTCCTTACCAGATAAGGATTGGGTAGATTGAATGTATCATTCTAAGAATAGTGGGTACCATTTATCAAATATGCTAGGCACTGGAATAGATCTCAGTTTTAAATCTCAAAAATCTCTGTCATTGAGGGCTGTTGCTATTCTTCAAGAAGAGAAATGGTGTCTCAGATGTAATTAGCACCCTAGCAAAACTGTACATCAAGTAGATTGCTTGAGCCAAGGGTGCAGCAAATTCTGACACTAACACCTGTTTTTGTGCTTTTTTCTTTTTTCATTTAGATGATTGCGGCTAACTAAGACTTTTTTTTGTTTTTTTTGTCTACCTGCCTTTTTGAAGTTCTGTGCTTGCTATTAAAATAGCAAGTTGCTATCTGCTAACTGGGATATATGTACTCAGGCTGATCAAACTCAAAGATGGCTCAGAATTTTTTTAATAAATGTGGCTGAGGTTATACTTTGGGAAGTGTACAGTGACTTGTGAATTTGGAGAACTGACATCTGTAATAAGATCTTTAATGTAGCTGTCTTCTACCAGTTGTGGCTCCTCGAGTGTCTATAAATAAACACGATTGTAGCATACTTTAGGGAACTGCATGCCATTTAAATAGAGCATTGTCAGCTGTCATTTTCCTGATTGCTATCTTTGTAAAGACAGGAACAGGGTTTATGATGGCTCGCCAGACTGCCTAAGGAGACCAATAAATGAAAACTCCATCACTTGCAAACACTAAGTAGCAGTTTTATTACCAGTTACAGCAGATCTGGCCATCTTATTTTCTTCCTGCAGCCTTAAGTCACAGTGTCAGAAACAAGACAATAAAAGTTAGTCTCGTGCTTTATTTCATGTGTCAAAGGGACACCATATCCTTTTGCTATGATATTGTATCCCCTTTCATAGTACTGCGGGGGAGAAAATCGTGGGCCTGTGAAAGCAGCGCACTGATGTCTGTTTCCATGTTGTTGGTGAAAAGCTTATCTTGCCATGCACACTGAGAGTCTTTCCGTCCTCCAGGGTATAAAGCATGTGGACCACTTTGGCTTCATCTGTCGGGAATCGCCAGAGCCTGGGCTGAGCCAGTATATCTGCTACGTGTTCCAGTGTGCCAGCGAATCTCTGGTGAGTAGCATGATGTGGACCGCCTTCCTGCACATCAGTAATGAACCCTCTCCACACGGCTATCCATGAAAAGGAAGAGAGCATCCAGAAATGCGTTTCTGCCCTTTTCAGCAGCACCACAGCAGAAAAACATAAACCTGTTGCCTTGGTGTCATCTTTAAGCCTAGGTGCTTCCTTGAGTTAGCAAATCCAGTTGTGTTACAAGGAGTATTTTTTAAAGATCAGAGATAAGGTAGATCTTTTATTCTCTTTTAATTGCTATAACACCTGAGAGTAGCTAATGCCGATATCAACAGAAAAGGGAATGATTTTTTTCCCTTATATTTCATTAACCCTGCCCTTGCTTTTAAATACTTTATGATATTATCTTAAGCATCATTTTCTTTCCTGGGAACTTTAAAGTCAGTTCTTCTCTCTAACACTATCTCTCACTCCCAAACCCCCTTTTATAAGCACAGTTGGAGTTTAGACTTGCTTTGGTTACTTGCTTTTTGTTACATTCACTTTCATATTGCCTCTTTATGGGATATGAAGCAGGCCTGATCTTGCTTTATGGTGACTTGAATTCTCTTCTTTTCTGTCACGAAAACAACAAAGTCACAGCTAAAAATTCACATACCAATAAAACCTTTTCTGACTTTTTTAAAAGGAATTGACTCCTCTATTTCCTCTGTCGTGTATCTTGCCACACCAATCCCCTTTCTTATTATCTTGCTCACGTATCTTTCTACTCCACTAGGTCATGAATTTCCAAGATCAATACCATTTTGTTGTTAAGATAAATTTGTATTGAGATCACACTGATTTATAGCATTATATAAGCTTCAGGTTTGCAGTGTTCCATTATATAAGCTTCAGGTTTGGACACCTGTGCACACTCCATTACATGACATCACATGACATGACATGACATCACATCACATCAGAGTCTAGTTTCTATCCACCACCATACATTGACCCCCCTTCATCCAGTTTACCTCCTCCCTCCCCTCTGGTCACTTTCCCTAGTGAGTCTAGGATAGCACATGCATGCTAAGTGTATTTTGAGTGATCAAGTATGGTTACTCTTGACTTCAGGTAATCATTTTCTTAGTGCTGGGGAACTCTGATTACTAGATAATCTGTGCTAAAAAAAAGACTGTATAACACCTTCTTATGTCCACCCATTTTAACAAGTTTGGTTTTACTTGTAGCTTTTAGTATTTTTGTTTTGTGCATGTAGAATGAGTTTTGTAAACAGGGAGTCAGAATAGAAAGTTGGAACATGCTGAATTTTTTACCCTAAGAAGCTCTGTGACTAGGGCAACAGACATGACTGGCTGAGAATGTCTTCCTGTTACATTGACGCTGTATCAGAATCTCAGTTTTGGCATCATTCTTCTTAAGAAGAGGCCCATTCCAGAATCTTTGAAACCCTGTTTGCTCTCATTCGATCAGGAGGCTTTTAACTGAATAGTGAGGGATCAGAACTGAAAGCTAAAAGAAAAATTAAATGTAAATTTCCTGCATAACAAGGATGGCTCAAGCAGCTGACATGTAAAACAAAACTAAACAGTCAATTAAATATTATAGTTCCAAGCAGTACTGGGATTGATGTGGCTTGGCTGCTGTGTAAGACTAAGTATTGCAAAACCACACATGCTGACTTCTCTGAGTACAAAGAATACACAACTAGCATTTTTCTTTTACTTCTTTTTTGCAATTGCTATGAATTGATCAGCACAACTGGTGTTTTGCCGGGTCCTGGAGGGACCCAGGGCTCCCTCCTGCCTACTTTTGTAAAATAGCAGAAAGTAGGTGGCTTAATCTTGTTTCACCAACCCTTGAGTTTTGTAGAAAATATCATTTCAGCTTTCTCTAAAACTGGTTTAAAAGGAGTGAAAAACAAAACAAAACAGTACTTACTATTACTAGAGACAATAAAAAGTCCACAAATCTAGACAACAGTATCCAGGAAAAGTATAACTGAAAGAAATAAAGACCTAGGCCACTCTAGACTCAGAATATGAATGGAGTTGGTATTTCATGAAATAAGCATGATGCTAGAGTATGTTGATAGAAGAATGAGGTACAAAATCCACGAAGTTATCTTTGTATTACATCTAATCTTGGTTGTACTTTGAAAATATCTCTAACAACTAAGGATCAAGTGGGCAGGACAAGTGGGGCTTGGGAGTGGGGATAGGTTCAGATTTGGGATTTGCATTTTATTTATTTATTTATTCTTTTAATCTTTTTTTTTTTTTTTATAAATTTTATTGTTATATTCCCCATACAATTGCAGCCCCCCCATTCTGACCCCAATCCCTCCCCTCCCGCCCCCGCCCCCCTAAAAGTGTCTCTGGTTCATAGTTTTTTGTTGATTTTGATTTTCACTTTCTTATATTCATTTTCCTGGTCCCTTATTTAAGTTTTCTAGATTCCTGCTATGAGTGAGACCATCCGGTATTTTTCTTTTTCTTTTTGGCTTATTTCGCTGAGCATGATCCCTTCCAGCGCCATTCATGTTGCTGCAAATTGCATGTGTTTATCTTTTTTGAATGCTGAGTAATATTCCATGGTATATATGTACCACATCTTCTTGATCCAGTCATCTATTTTTGGGCATTTGGGTTGTTTCCAAAGCTTAGCTATTGTAAACAGTGCTGCTATAAACATAGGGGTGCAGGTGTTCTTTGGAATTGATGTTTCTGTGTCCTTTGGGTAAATACCTAGGAGTGGAATTGCTGGATCATATGGAAGCTCTATGTTTAGTAGGTCCAGAAATCTCCACACAGCTTTCCACAGTGGTTGGACCAGTTTGCACTCCCACCAACAGTGCAGAAGAGCTCCTTTTTCTCCACACTCTCGCCAACATTTGTTGTTGCTAGTTTTTTTAATATGTGCCATTCTCACTGGTGTGAGATGGTATCTCATGGTAGTTTTGATTTGCATTTCCCTGATGACAAGTGATGTTGAACATTTTTTCATATGCCTGTTGGCCATTTGCATTTCCTCTTCAGAGAAGTTTCTTTTTAGCTCTTCTGCCCATTTTTTGACTGGAATATTTTCTTTGTTGTTGTTGAGTCTCATCAGCTCTTTGCAGATTTTTGTGATCAGTCCTTTATCATTAGTGTTGGGTGCAAAAATGTTCTCCCAGTTGGTGGGGTTTCTCTTTGTTTTTGTTATTGTCTCTTTTGCTGTGCAAAAGCTCTTTAATTTGATGTAGTCCCAGCTGTTTATCTTTGCCTTCACTATCACTGCTTTGGGTGACGTGTCTGTAAAGATGTCTTTGATGTGCAATGGGATTTGCATTTTAAATGATGATAAGTTACAGTGTTTTAGAGAACACTAATTTATGACTGATTTTTCACCTGAAGAAAAATTGAATTGGTACCGTTTAGTTTCAGAACCAGAAGTATAAAATAGGACTTTTTGGCACACCAGTGGCCATGAATGACCAGTTTACATATAGCATGGAGTATGATAAATTGGTCTAGAATCTAACAAATATGGAGAACTCTTCACTATATGGGTGACTAACTACTGAAATAGACCATTGCCTGGTTAACAATTGTTAAAAAGAGGATTGATACACATATTGGATATTTGTTACAGATCCACCTCCATTACAGAGAGGTGCCATTATCCCCACCCCTACTTACTTGCAGCTTGGACTACAGATCCAGTGTGCCTTGAACCAGACTTCCTGAGAGGGGGAGTTACTGGGAACCAAGAGTGGAGTTAAGCAGCCAAACGTAGCACAAAACACAGAAGGCCAGTGAGCTGGGGCTCTTGCTGTTCCCATTTTGTCTTGCACCCAGAAACTTGGAAGGAGACATTTGGAAAAGAGACCATATAGAACATTTGAAAGAGATATGTGGGAGAGAGACAGGTGGGAAAGCTGTCCTTGGCAGAGAAAATGGCAACCATTATTTTGATTTTGCGCTTTTTGTTCCAGACTTGCTTACCCCTATGTTGCTGTTCTCCATCAGAAGGTGCCTTAGACTTGTGGCAAGCTTTTTGGGCCTCAACAGCCCTGCTTTGGGTTGACCCCATTTGATGGGCATTTACCCTTTAGAGGATGGGTAATTTGGGGAGTTTTATTGGAAAACAATTAGGAATATTTTTTCTTCTCTTGTATGCACACTAATCATATTAAAGATATTTTATACCACGAGTCTACTTTCTTTGCCTTTGTGTGCATGGATGGCTGGATCCATTTAGAGTATGCAGCTCTTAACTGTTCGAGGTTCTTGGGTGCCCCTTGGCACATGCTAACAGTTTGAAAATTAAAAATTTCCTAGAGAACTGGACTACACGCGTTTCTGAAGTCCCTGCACATTCTGTGATTCTTAGACTTACTCTAGGATATTATAAAATCCCTAAGTTTGTTGTATAAATGTTTATGAGCATTATCTTCACTATGGATTTTTCCCTTTATAAGTAAGCTCACTTTGTCCTTTGTCTCATACTTTTTTACCTCATATTTAATTTTGCCTCCTGGTAATACTAAGAATATTTGATTTTTGTTTGCATACGATTGATTTATCTTGACCCATTCCTTTACTTTTAACCTTTTGACATGACCTACGCTGTTTTGTTGCTGTAGCATAGTGAGCTAATTTGAACTTTTAGCTGCTTTCCCATAATAAAACTCACAGGCCGTCTAGAAAGAAAGATCGATTTTAAAAAGTAAAATATTTAAAATTTTAGAAGCAAAGTTCTTGGTAACATTTGTGACTGGGGGAACTTGGTAGCTGCATTTAAGACACCATTTAATGGCCTCTTATTTCACTTCATAAATTAGAAATAAATAAGAAAACACAAAAGTTCCATATTTCCATTGATGGCATTTTATAAGACAGTCTTAATAAGTAACAATAAAAGTCTGTCAAGGTTGAGTATATGACTAACCTCTTCAGTGCTTTAAAAAATAAATGAAAAACAAGAAAATAGAAAAAAAATCTGCCTAAGTAATTGAGATTGATTTTTAATACATATCAAGACAAATGAAGTAAAAAATGCAAAAGCATTAAACATGTAGTACTTTTATTTTCAAGAAACAAAAACCTTTATTTTTTAGTTATAGTGTAAAATAGCAAGAATCATGAGTAATTCATTTTTGCTCATGAATGATATGAAACTACTTATTCACTTTTTTAAAAGCTGGTAATGTGGTATGGTGAGATGTCACTGAATAACTATTGACTGCTTAGTGTTTGCTCTCTGTCTTTGATTTCTTTAGTAATAATAAAGTTTCTTTTTATAATAATTTCTTCATGTGCTCAAGTAGGTTAAATCCTATAAATAATAGTTTAGTCTTAAACCAGTCCATGGGAGAAAGGAAAAAAGAATCTGAAAATATGGTTTACAAAGGTTGGTATGTGGATGTGAATAGCAAACCTAGTGGGATGAGACCCCCACCCCGCACCCCCAGAGCACCCTGTGCTGGTTTTAGACTTTCTCCAGTTCTACCGTGTGTGGGCAAATCATCAGCTGACACTGATGATTGTGTCACAGAGATGGCCATGTGGCTTGAAGTCCATTTACCAATACTTGAGGATGAGCTAGCAGTTGATCTCAGAGAAGCCAACAGGAGGTTAGAAGGCTGTATTTAAACTTCATAACTGAATCATTGGAAGAGCAAGAAGAAAAGTAGCTGGCAGGTTTCAAACTGCTGGCCAAGTGTGAGAGCCAGCTGTTGGACAACACGATGCCAGAGTGAAATGATAATAAATAGAAGCCACAGAGCTAAGACCAACAGTGGTGATAGATGTCCCTCAACATTATTTAAATTGAACTCATTTTCCACCAGAATTTTGCTTAAACATGTTTGGTTTGTTTTTCTAATAAAAATGATTTAGAAGGATAACTAGGACACCTATTAAAGCAAGTGATGTCTATTAAAGCCAAACCCATTTTGTTCTCTCTGTATATTGCAGATAAAACTTAGATCTTTATCTGATAAACTACTTAATTAAACAAAGACCTGATGACTCTCAGCTATACTATGATAGCATAACATTCAGCAGGATTAAAAATAGTATCCAAGTACCAGATCAGTATTCTGTTACACAAATTAAAATGGTTTTATTTCATCTGGCTTTCAATTATGTGTGTAATTGAGATCTAACTTCACAACTTACTATTTTTGCTCGACCAGCACCATTGACATCAGAATTCCATAATTTATTACTCAATCAGTGTCGCACATCGCTGTTGGAATTTTAATGTGTCACCCTAGGAGCAAATACTCAGATCTGAGTTTTGCTGATTCCTGCAGGTGGATGAGGTCATGTTGACGCTGAAGCAGGCCTTCAGCACAGCCGCCGCCCTGCAGAGTGCCAAGACCAAGATCAAGCTGTGTGAGGCCTGCCCTATGCACTCTTTGCATAAGCTCTGCGAACGGATTGAAGGTACAGTACAACTTGACCTCGGCAGAGGAGGAGTTTGCTTTGGCACTTGGGAAACGAGACAGTCACTACTGTCCCTGAATGCTTCTTTGTTTCTGGGTGAAACAAGAGCCCACAGCATTGTTTCTGATGTCCAGCAATGTGTGCTGTCAGCCTAGGGGCTTGGCCTGGATCTTTCTCTCCCCTTTTTTCCTTTTTTTAGTTTTCTCTTCTGAAGGCTGACTCAAGGAATGGAGTTGTATTTCCCACAGCTCTTAACATTCTTCTATGAACATAGTGGGAACCGATCAAATATTTGTTGAGTGAATGAAGAAAGGCGAACCCATCCGAGAATGTCAGCTGTTTATTTAAGTCTCTGTTTTCCCACTACTCACTAGGTGATGTGTGCCTTTTCCTTTCAAGTTAGATCTGGGAGGCAACTTGCCTGGCTTCTGAGAGACATTTGAAAATGACAGACACAATGATGTAATCCCATAAAACAGATTTTTTTTTTTAAATTTTAGGTAATTTTTTTTTATCAAGTTAACATTGGTTTATAACACTGGGTATGATTTAAGGATGTGGGTTCATACGTCTTCATTGTGTATTACCACACCACACTGACCACCAAAGTGCCAATAACCCGACACCACCTTCCAAGGGACCTCCTCCTCTTACGTCACCTTTTGCTGCCTCCCCACCCCCAATTTGGTAACTTCAGTTCTATATTCCAAGGGTTTGTTATGTTTTGGTTTAAAACAGAGTTAAAAAAAAAAGTGTTTTGAGGAGTTGGGAGGGCATGAGGGAAAAGTGATTTTTCTGACTCACCTTCCCCTACCTCTTGTTACCCGTTGCTAAATATAAAAAAAATGAAAAAGTTTGAATAATAATTGCACAAAAGAAGAAGCGCTATTTAATAAATACCCCTGTTAAGCATCTACTGTGCTCCCCAGTAGGCACTGGGGTTACAGACATAACTGAGACTGGATGGCACATTTCGAAAGCTTAAATCCAGAGCAAAGGATGGCTTGTGATCAGATCAGAACAACTTGGTATGATGGTTTAAAATAGATCTGGAGTGTAAACTCCAGCTCAACATAGGAAATGGCCTAATTGTAAGTGTAAATTGTGATTTCTGTTCTATAGGCAAAATGCTAATGAGCAGTGAGGTATGCTGGATAGCCATTCAAATTTAAATGTGATATTTAAATTTAAAGGTTTATAGTTTTACAAAAAGCACATTTGCATACACATAAACAACATTTGCAAAGATAGAAGGTTATTTGGTGTATGGTAAAGGGAGTATCATTCATCAGCAGGCAAAGATATCAGCAGGACATGGTGTTGGGTCAGTTTGCTATCCAAGGGGAGAGAGAGTCCTGTTTTTACCTTACTCAAAATATATTCTAGATGGATCAAAGACCTCAGTGTAAGTGGGTAAAATATTAAAAAAAAATCAAGGCTATTTTTATGTCCATGAACAAGAAAACCATTCTTAAGACACAAAAATGGAAAAACTATGAAGAGAAGACATTGACAGATTGACTAGAAAAATGTAATTTTCCCATTACAGTAGCTGCTTACTGGGAAGTTAAATGATAAGCAGGGAGTGAAGAGAAAGCAGATTGGTATCCAGAATTTGTAAGAACTCTTTTTATCTACAAGAAAAAGATACAACTGCCAGAAAGAAATGATGCAAATCATATTAAAGAAGCACTCCTCTGAAATGGAAATTAGAAGTCCCAATATAAAAATGAGAAGCTGCTCAACCTTTTGTTCAAAAGGGAGTAAAAAGAAGGGTCCAGGTTGACTGCAGAAAGAGCCTTAATTTCCTAAGGCTTTAGAGGGAAACTTCCTTCAGGATTTATTTATTTATTCATTTATTTATTTCTTACTTTAAAAAAATATGGGGTGTAGGCTAGAGGGGTGAGGGGTGGTGAGAGGAGTCACTAGAGACAGTGGGGAGCAGACCAGGAGGATTGTCTGAAATACACTGCTGAGGGGAACAGCTGGAAAGCCAGGAGAGGTCTGCTGTACCATGTGTGTAGCTCCCTGGCCAGCCTGGGATCGAACTTGTGCTGCAGTGGCTGCTGATAGCTTCATAGTGCTGAGCCCTAACCCCTTGCACCACCAGGGATGCCCTCCCCTTTGCTTTAGACAACAGGGGAAGTGAGCATAAGAGAGGCCAGTGCTTTAGGGTAAGAGTGAAAGGAACAATAAGGCAGAAGGTTTTTTAGGAATCACTCAACCTGGGCACTGTTGTGTTTTGCCTGTAATAGCCCACTTAATCCATAATAGCAATCCCAAAGATAGGTGCTGTTTTTAACTCCCATTTTACTTATGAGGAAACAGGCTCCCCTGAGACACACAGCAGGTAGTAACCGCCACCTTCACATTGCTCACAAGGACCAAGCCTCAGAAGGATGTGAATTAGTTTTTCATTTTTTTTTTAAAGATTTATTTATTCATGTATACAAGAACCAGGGTACAGGCCAGATGTGCGGGAGAGTGAGAGGATTCACCAGAGACAGAGCAGGGAACAGAACAGGCAGACTGACTGAAATACACTGCTGAGGGGAGCAGCAGGTGAGACAGGAGAGGTCTGCCTCGCCATTTGGGTATCTCCCTGGCCGACCAGGATCAAACCTGCGCAGAGAGCTTTACAGTGCTGTGCTCAACCGCCTGCGCCACCAGGGAGGCCCTGGTTCTTCATTTTTCAAAGCAACGTGATGCCTTCTCTCGAGCAACTACCTCAAAGCAGGGATTTTCAGGGCCACACTGCTTTGAAACCTCAGCATTTATGTTTTCCCCAGACTGTTATTTTCATCTAAATAAGATAACAGTATCACTTCTTGTTTCATGCTTAGGTACAAAGTGTAAAGCTGGAAGAGTGACCACATTTTGATTAAACACAACTTGGCAGCTGTAGAAAGTTAGTGAGACTGATATTAAAAAGTATATAGAGATGGGCCTCCCCGGTGGCGCAGCGGTTGAGCGCTGGGTTGCGAAGCTGCCCGCAGCCTCTGCAGCGCCGGTTTGTTCCCCGGCTCTCCCCGGCCACCGGAGGAGGGTCCCGCATGGCGCGCAGACCTCTCCTGCCGCCCGCTACTCCCCTCAGCAGTGTACTTCTGTCCTTCTGCCTGCTCTGCTCCCCGCTCTGGCTCTGGTGAATTCTCTCACCTCCGGCGCTTCTGACTGTACCCAGTGCTTGTATAAATAAATAAATAAAACTTAAAAAAAAAAAAAAGTTAATTTAAAATAAATAAATAAAGTATTTAATGTTTTATAGCAGTCAGAAATAATAGCATTCCTGGGGCCTCCCTGGTGGCATAAGGGGTTAAGCACCTGTCTTGCCCGCTGCTCCCCTCAGCAGTGTATTTCAGTCCGTCTGCCTGTTCTGTTCCCCACTCTGTCTCTGGTGGATCCTCTCACTCCTCATATCACTGGCCTATACCCCAGCTCCTGTATGCATAAATAAATAAATAAATAAATATTAAAAAAAAGAAATATAGCATTCCTGTGAAATACACCTTGCTGCAGTCATAAGGAGTTTTACTTTGAAAAGAAGAAAAAGTAGAAGTAGATAAGTATGCTGATGTGAGCCCTGATCACCTATGCTCGTGTTGAGTGAGTCTTGCTGTTTAGATTGGCAAAAACACCACCAGCCATGTCTGTGGACTAAAGTGAATCGAGAAGGCAGGGTCCAAGGGGCTTGCCATCTTCCAAGGGCCAAACCTCAGAGTGTGAAACTGAAGCGATATTCAGCATCATGGAGATGGAGCGATTATCCTCAGTCTTGTTTTTCTTCACTAACATGCATGAGGGATAAATAATATTCTTGCCTGTCAGTGTGAGTAAATCACTGCTGAGTCCAAATTGAGGATAAGAAGGAAGTTAATTCAGTTTCATGTTAGTGGCAGGGGCATATATAATTTGAAAATAAACTCCAGCTGTCTCCAATTCCTCTGCTAAAATAAAGGCCAGAACAAAAATAGTGGACTAACAATTTTGTTACCTATTTTAGGCAACCATCCTCTTTGCTTCTTGTCTTTTCTTTTATCTTCTTGCAAGTTAATAAGACACTAGAATAGTAGATACAACAAAAGTAAACAAAACAAGTTGTGGGAATCAGTTTCTTAAGATAGTCTCGAAAGAACCTGTTCCAGAGACTTAGCCCCCAAATGCTAAGCTCTGGTGGAGACTGGCACCACACCTCAAAATGAATCCTAGTGCCCAAGGTTTTTGTATGCGATCCCAGAGCTTGTCACAGAATTTTGTTGTACTTTGCACGAAGAAAAGTGGAACTGAGATGTTCTCAGAAACTTTTCTTTCTGATTCTCATCATGGCTTAAAACAGGTCCTGTTTTAGGTAGCACTGTACGCATTTTGGTGACTGTGATGTGTATTCTAGTTCCTTTAAAACAATTCCTGTTTTGAACTGATTTCACTCTTAGTGATTTTAAAGTACCAGTTTACCTACAGGGGTCATTAAATATTAGATAGAACTGATGTCCTCTTCTTTTTTTTTTTAGAGATTTATTTATCTATGCATACAGGAACTTGGGTACAGGTCAGAGGTGCGGGGTGTGAAAGGATTCACCAGAGGCAGAGTGGGGAGCAGAAGAAATGTAACCACTGATATACATTGCTGAGGGGAGCAGCGGGCGAGACAGGAGAGGTCTGTGGCACCATGTGGGTCACCTCCCTGGTGGGGGATCGAACTTGTGCTGCAGTGCCTGGGAATAGCTTCATAGTGCTGACATTTAACCCGTTGGCCACCAGGAAGGCCCCTGATGTCCTCTTTCTAATCAAAGTATAATAGCAGTACTCTAAGTGGCACCTGTGTAAATAAGATCTGTTTCTTAAAAATGTGTGGTCAGGGCCTCCCTGGTGGCGCAGCAGTTGAGCGCTGGGTTGTGAAGCTGCCCGCAGCAGCCTCTGCAGCGCCGGTTCAATTCCCGGCTGCTCCCCGGCCACTGGAGGAGGGTCCCACATGGCTTGCAGACCTCTCCTGCCACCCGCTGCTCCTCTCAGCAGTGTACTTCGGTCCTTCTGCCCGCTCTGCTCTGGTGAATTCTCTCACCTTCGGCGCTCTGACTGTACCCAGTGCTTGTATAAATAAATAAATCTTTAAAAAAAAAAGTGTGGTCAGTTGTAGATATGAAAAAATAAAAATGTAAATAGAAAAGTTGTAATAAAAACTAATCATTGTCTATATGAATAAAGATTTCTCTTTTTTAAAAAAAAATATTAGAAATGTTTTCATGGAAAAGATTTTTGCCTAATGACATACATTCTGGGTAAGAGTATAATAATTATATAAATAACATGCTATAAAGAGGTAAACAGTTTCTTGGTAAAATAATAATACCATCACTAAATACTAATGTCACTGAATGTCATTGAATGTCACTGAATGTCACTGAATGCTAAAGCTAGCCTTGCTGTTTTATTACCACTGACCAAGATCTGCATGAGGAGATTTCTAAGTTGTAACTCTGTATTTTAATATTATTAGTTATCTTTTTTAATGGCAAGTTTTAGATTTAGAGAGTTTTGCTCAGACTAGTATTTAGCTTTTATTTCCATGCCAGGAAGTAGATTCATGTTAATTCAACTGTGAGTTTCTATGGTAACTAATTTGTTATATTAAATGGTTAATATACTTATATTAAATCTGCTTAAACTATTGATTTGGTATCATTTAGAAATCTTTTATTATTCTGACTACAGTATCACTGACAGGGGTCACTAATTTTTGTGAAGACATTTTCCATTTTTTTTTTTTAATCATTTCATTGGAGCCTTTCAGGATTTGCTGTGAGCAGAGTCCATCTTGAGGAGATTTAACTTCAGAGCCATTTGGCTAAGAGACAAGCTGCAATGCATCACATACATTTTAATCTCTACAGCCACACAGTGTGTAACACTTATGCCTATCACTTTCCTTAGGTCTCTATCCCCCGAGAGCCAAGCTGGTAATACAGAGGCATCTCTCATCACTGACAGATAATGAGCAAGCTGACATCTTTGAACGAGTTCAGGTAATGTCATTTACAGTCCTCACAAATATGATCTAAGGAATGAGAATTCCTTGCATATCCTCCTTTCATTCCTCTGTCAAGTCAGAGATGTGTATCCTATTGTCTTACTTGGTAGTAACTAGAGTGTCATTGTTGCTTTTGCTTCTGAGAGCATTTGGGCTTTTTTTTTTTTAAAGATTTATTTATTTATACAAGCACTGGGTACAGTCAGAAGCACAACAGGGTGAGAGAATTCACCAGAGCCAGAGTGGGGAACAGAACAGGCAGTCTGACGAAATACACTGCTGAGGGGAATAACAGGTGAGACAGGAGAGGTCTGCCACACCATGTGGGACCCTTGCCGGTGGCCGGGGATCGAACTGGCGCTGCAGAGGCTGCGGGCAGCTTTGCAGCCCAGTGCTCAACCGCTGCGCCACCAGGGGAGGCCCCATTTGGGCTTTTTTTTTATGTTTGTCTGCCAGACATAAAACCCAGTAAGAAGAAAATAAAATGAGAGGGACTTTGTGGTCTTAGTGTCCTCTTGCTTTGTCTGTTCAACAGAAGATGAAGCCAGTCAATGACCAGGAGGAAAACGAACTTGTGATTTTACATCTGAGGCAGCTGTGTGAAGCCAAGCAGAAGACACACGTTCACATTGGGGAAGGCCCGCTGGTGAGATGTTTTCTCCTTGACCTTTTTTTGTTTTGCTTATGTATTTAGTCAAGAAACCACAGAACGTATGCAGGGAGTTTCTTTCCTGTGTGTTCTACAGGTCAAATATGATGCTTTTAAAATGTAAAAAAACATTTGTAGTTTTGATAGAACAATATGAGTAAATGGCCATGATTTAAAGTGAACATGCATTTTTACTTATGTTGATCCATCACTTTATATTTGTTTGGACATCTTATTTTATTATAAGCTTACACAGCCCTGAATGGTGAAATCAAACACCTAAAAAGCAATAATATGAAATCGACTATCTTGGCTGCAAGCTGTCTTTATGCACATGGTTTAGAATGTATTCCCAGATGCATATAGATAAAGCAAAGCATCAGCAGCAGCTTATAAGGGAATCACGACATACCTTTAATTCAGTTTATGTCTTTATTTCACTATATTCAGAACAAATCACATATCATGTTACTAGTGATTCTTTAACTTATTCATTGAACATTTTTTTAACTTTTTTTTTTAAGATTTATTTATTTATTTATACAAGCACTGGGTACAGTCAGAAGCGCGAGAAGGTGAGAGAATTTGCCAGAACAGGCAGACTGATAAAGTACACTGCTGAGGGGAGCAGCGGGCGGCAGGAGACGTCTGTGTGCCATATGGGACCCTCACCCAGCGACCGGGGATTGAACTGGTGCCGCAGAGGCTGCGGGCAGCCTCGCAACCCAGCGCTCAACCGCTGCGCCACCGGGGAGGCCCCATTGAACATTCTTTATAGAGCATCTTCTCTGAACCAAGCTATATGATAATAATGACAAAAAAGAGATGAATAAATGATGCCCTCTCCAGAGAAGAGCTCAAATATTCAAAAAGGGAATGGAGACAAACAGATAATATAACACAGGCAAAAAAGGGGCTTTTTAAGGGAATGCGCAGTGAGCACAAAAGTCGCTGTGTTTTAGCTTTGCTGCTGAGGTGGAGAGTAAGGGGGAAGGAAAAATTCAAGAGAAATATATGGGGTTCAATGGCGTTTTAGGAAAGATAACAGTTGCTAATCAGGAAAGTTGAGGAAGTGTGTTTTATGAAAAGAAAAATGAGCACAAAATTATGCAGTAATTTTGTAACCATGAATGAACATCCATTCAGGCTCTCCAAGTACAGATTTTATTTTTTTTTTAGGATGAACTTGTGAGTTGGTGGGAAATGAGATTGTAAAGGTCGGGGAGGAGAGGTGAGGTGATGAATGACCTTGAAGGCTAGGCCTGATGTCATTGAAGAATTTCAAGTAAGATATTAAGATCAGATTTATACTTTAAAATGATAATTCTGCCATCACAATGATGGTGGATTTGTGGGGAATGTTAGTGGAGAAAGATGTTGAGAGTGTTAGGTCTAAAGTCACATTCTTCCATTAGGAGATTTTTGTGATAAAACGTTCAAGAAGCGATTCATTTAATTTTTGCAAACTTTATCAAGTGCCTGCTATGTAGTAGGCAGTGGTGATGAAGTTTTGTAGTCCTGTTCCGTCATCTGTTTAAGAAGAGAAACCAGCATGTAATGGAATTAAAATATGGTGTGATTGATACAATGATATAAATGTTGACAAGGCAGAGAGAGTACTAGTATATAAATAGATTGACTGATTCTGTTCTGAAGAAAATTATCTTGTCTTGAAGTGAGGCTGAACGAGAGCTCTGGGGGTGTGAGGAAAGGGATTGAGTCCCTTGTGCTTTTGGAAGGCACAATCATTAAGACTTTAACTGGCTAGATCAATACATCGAAGAAAGGAAGGGTGTGTTGCTGGAAGAGACTTCAAGATTTCAGGTTTGGGGAAACTGAGGTAGGAAATACAGAAAGAAGACTCTAGTGTGGGAGGGATAGAAAGCAGGAAAGAATTCAACTTTGGAAATATGTTTGAGACTTAATTAGAAAAATGGGTTGGCACATGGCGAGACAGACCTCTCCTGTCTCACCCACTGCTCCCTTCAGCAGTGTATTTCAGTCAATCTGCCTGTTCTGTTCCCCACTTTGTCTCTGGTGGATCCTCTCACTCCCCGCATCTCTGGCCTGTGTCCCAGCACTTGTATGCATAAATAGATATTTTCTTAAAAAAAGGGGGGGATTGGGTTGGGATGCTCACAGAGGAGTTTGAGTTTATGGTATAAATATAGAGTTCAATGAGCTTCGGCATGGATTTGAAGTCTTGGGAGAGTATACTGGCCAATAACCGCATTTCAGGTAGTTAGTGAATAAAAATGGTGCCAATGAAAAAGACTTAAAGGGAAAAATGGGGTAGAAAGAGACTTAAAAAATTTATTTTGGTGTGTGAACAAGGAGGAGAAAAGTTCAAGTCATAAGACCAACAATGTCCAACAGTATAGGGAAGTCAAGGAACATGGAGACCAATGTATTAATGGGTTTGCTTGTATAAATCTCTGATGGTTTCAGTGATGCTGAACAGTGGCCAGTAGCCCAGAGTGAGTGTGATGTGCGCTTTCCCAGGGATGGGGACACTACAGGTCATAAAGGACAAGTTGTTCATAATCTGCTTGTTTTCTGGACAGGTGTGAAATTCTCCCCTCCCCCTTTCTCTTCCTCCTGCTTTCCATTCTTCCTTCCATTCATTCAACCATTCTTACTGAGCAGCTTTCTCAGGCTTTGCTCTCAGTGCCAACACAATATCCCTATTTTATTCTTGTGTTTCACCTAAAAGTCATAGAATAATGAAACATTCTGGTCCTTGATACACACCCTGGGCCCAGTTCAGCCCACCTTCATATCCATTCTTTCCTTTTCCCCTTTCCTTGATGGGAGTCATATTTCTTTCATAAGCATCTTTTTATGTGATCCCATGGACCCAGTGCCCACTGGGACCTTTGTACCTCCTGCATATGCTGTGACAAAGCCTTTCTCTTTCTATGTTCCTGTCCTTCTGGTGACTTTTCAACACTCCTTTCAGAGAATTCTCCCCAAACATTATTTTCAAAGTGATGCCCTCTACTCATAAATGCTGGATAGGGATTCATCCTATATATCTGGCACTTAAGACCCAGACTTGATACTTGCATGTTGTTTAGTGTCACAGTTTAATGTGAATTTAGTCTCTCCTCAAGCAAGTGGTAGCTTTCTCTCTTGGAAGTTGTCTGGTGTTAAGAATCATGTAGTACGGCCTCCCTGATGGCACAAAGGGTTAAGATGCAGCCTATGAAGCTATCTGCAGTCACTGCAGCATGAGTTCAATTCCTGGCCAGGGAGCTACCCACATGGCACAGCAGACCTCTCCTGCCTCGCCCACTGCTCCCCTCAGCAGTGTGTTTCAGTCAATCTGCCTGTTTTGTTCCCCACTCTGTCTCTGGTGAATCCTCTCATCCCCCGCACTTCTGGCCTGTACCCCAGTTCTTGTATGCATAAATAAATAAATATTTTTAAAAAATCATGTAGTATATGCAGTAGCTTATTAGATCAATAAGATAAAATATATAGATGGAACTTAATACAGTGAAAATAATGTAGATTTTCATATAATTTAGTACTGTCAGTGAGTACTTGTTGATCAAAAAGATAAATGAACCTGCATATAAATGAAAATGGAGTTATAACAGCGGCAGTAGCAGAATTCAGTTTTACTGGGAGGTGCTTTGTCCTTTGAAATTTACTTCCAGTGTTTCCTTGGTAATTTGGATATAAAATCTGTAACATAGAAAAGGGTGGCTATAGTTGTTAATCAAAATCACAGTGAAAAATGACATCTCAAGCCTAATTTTTGTTAAATGCAGGCTGAATTTATTAGTGAAAAAGGAAAAGCATAAAGGAAAGATCATACTCTTTTTTTATTACTTACAATGTAAAAATTAAACCCTTTTCTGTATGTTCATAATATGGAACATAAATTATTTCTTCTTAATAGAGTCACAAAAGAATTCTTGTGCTTTTCAATGGCTTACTCATAGACTTGTCTTTCAAGCCTCATTTGACCTTGAGTATTTCCAAATTAAAACTTCTCTGTTTTTCTTCCTACAGACTATTTCAAATAGTACAATCCCAGAAAATGCGACGAGCAGTGGAAGGTTCAAACTTGACGTTCTGAAAAATAAAGCAAAGAGATCTTTAACTAGCTCCCTGGAAAATATCTTCTCAAGGGTAAGATTAAGTTAAAGCTCTTTTAGGTAATAATGTTTGTATTTTCTAGCTGTGTTGTTTAGTTTTCAACTGGCTCACAGACTTCCTTTAAGAAAAGAGTAAGATTATTTTAATCTCCTAAAATAAAGTTTCATCCTCAAATCTGGTGTTTCTGTTACCTGAACTTGAGCAATAGAGGTGAAGTAGTAGAGACATGGATGGAAAAGGGGCTCATAGAGTTTTGATACCCAGTACTATAAGAACATATTATCATTTGTCACATCATGTTATAAAGAAGTCTTACATTTTCACTCATTCTTAGGAGCTGATAAGAAATGCTAAAAATAGTAAGAGTAAATAAATAGAAATTTGTGTATTCCATTTTGTAAGTTGATATAGTCTGTTAAAAAATAAGCAAAGCAGCTCTCCTTCCCCTCTATTTCCCTCTTCCTGAACAATCTTGTCCTAAAGCTGTCAGGTGTGGTCAAACAAGGTAGAGGTCCTGGGGCTGGAGGTCAGAAGAGACCTGGAGGTTCAGGCAGGGCAACCAAGTCTACATGGGTTGTCATGAATTGGTAAGAGTTTTAGTTGAGAGGCCACTTAAGTAGAAGGTCAGGGGGCCTGAATTCAACTGCTCTTGGCAGATTTTATGCTTATGCTCTTGGACAAATTATTTACCTTTTTTAAGTCATAGTTTCTCCATTTGTGAATTGGGCTTCCTAATACTTATTTCACGTGACTGGGAGGATGAAATGTCTGTTAGTTAGGAAAGTAACACACTGCAGATAGGAGGTGGTGCCTATTGTGGTTAGCTCTGAAATCTCTGTCATGTCCAGAATGACAGATGGGTGTTTAGAGTGTTACTCTCTTTATCTTCTTTTGGTACCTTGTCGTTCTTGACCACGCTTGCCTGGCTGACTTTGAAGTGCCTCTCACGTAGCCATGAGTGGCTGGAGTGACTCTTGCAGCAAGGGCACAGCCAGTCTATTTTGGTCAATGTGTAGGCTGTAGCGTTGGTGTCCTAAGTGCTGCCAAGTACCGTAAATCATGTGACCTAACAAGGTCTTAACTTGCACCATTTGCAGCAGCATGTACTTGTTGGGAAGGTTGGCAGCTACCCATGTTGGATTAAAGGTTATCTAGAAAAGGCAACTTCTAAACTTTGCTGGTTCATTTTTTTTCTCTCTGAGTTTTATCATAGAAAATTGACACTCTTGCCAAACAGCTCAGCTCATAATTACTGCCATTTTTAAATATTTTATTGATCTAACTACAGTTGTTTATGAAATAGGATACATTTTTAAAATGCATAGAAGCTCAGCTCATTAACAATTAAAAAATAAGTTCAAGGGAAAAGGCTTGACACTTGTATTTCCAAACCATAATATATTAAAACCAAAAAAACTTCTGTTTGAGGTGAAAAGACAGTCTTGTGTTGTGATTGTTTGTTGCTTTCTCTTAAGTTGAAGTTTTCCAAAAGATGAATACCTACTAGTTTATATTTATTAATAGATATATTTTCAAAAGAGAGATATTCTCTAATGAAAGTGTCAGTTATTGGAAAGCAGTCCTCATTTCAGGCTTTCTTCAGACTTTAGATAGATACCTATTGTCCACTAGTTGAAGTGTGTGAATTAACATTCATGGTGGAGTACATATACACAGATATATTAATTGAGGCAACACTGATTTACAACACTGTGTATGATTCTGAGCTTAGGATCTCACCTCCTTAGATGCTTGTCCCCACATCAAAAAGAGAAAAGACATGGAGAAATTTTCCAAGAAACAATTTTAGAAGTTTCTCAGAACTGATGAATGTGCTTCCAGATTTAATGGGTCCAGTTGTTAACTGTATAATGTCATGCCAAGGCATATCATTGCAAAGTTTCAGAATCCCTAAGGGCAAAGTTAGAGTCTGTTCCAGAGAGACATAGCAGGTCACACATATACAGGCTCAAAATCATAATGACAAAAGACTCCTGGACCAGAGAATACTTAGGCAGTGCTGACATATTCTAAAGGTAAGTTTCTGATCAGAATTATATATTCAGTCAAACCATTAATGAAATATAACCACAAAATAATGACATTTACAGACATGTAACTATTTTTAGAGTGTATGTCCCACTCTCAGAAAGCACCTGGAGTATATGTTTCACTAAATGAGAAAGTAAACTAAAAAAAGTGGAAGCCACATGTCAGGAAAATGGAAATTCCATTATAGAATAGCATCAGATTTCAAAGGAAATTTCTAGGTTAACCGTGAAGTAAAACACTGGGAAGATCTATTCAGCAAACCTAAATTACAGTAGTCTAGACTGGAGCAGGAAGACAGGTTTCCAAAATGCGTTGCTCAAAGAAAAATAAAAATTGTGATTGATAGGTTATGTGATGTTTGACCATACTGAGAGATCTTTTTTTTTTTAAATTTTCTAGAGGCATGTCTTATTTATTTATTTATTTATTGTTTGATACATGCACTGGGTACAGTCAGAAGCGTGGGAGGGTGAGAGAATTCACCAGAGCCAGAGCGGGGAGCAGAGCAGGCAGAAGGACCACTGCTGAGGGGAGCAGCGGGCGGCAGGAGAGGTCTGCGCGTCATGTGGGACCCTCCTCTGGTGGCCGGGGAGCAGCCGGGGATCGAACCGGCTGCAGAGGCTGCAGGCAGCTTCGCAACCCAGCGCTCAACCGCTGCGCCACCGGGGAGGCCCCATACTGAGAGATCTTTTGGAAACTCTTAAACTAGTGATTGCTGAGTCAGTTGTTAACTCCATGAAAACTAAATTGTATATGATGTGAGTTGTACTAAACAGTAAAGTTCGTCTTCAAGTGCAAACAGTATTTACAAAGTGATAAAAACTAAGCACAAAATTTTGATTTAACTGAAACTTGTCTCATAATTTCCGTGAAAAGAGAGAAGTGTATGTGGGCATGGTAATGAAGTAAGACTACTAAAAGTCTCATCTTCCAAAGTAGGAAATCAATAGTGCCTAAAATGGAAATTCCAAAGAGCACCTGCACCCCTATGTTTATAGCAGCACTGTTTACAATAGCTAAGCTTTGGAAACAACCCAAATGCCCAAAAATAGATGACTGGATCAAGAAGATGTGGTACATATATACCATGGAATATTACTCAGCATTCAAAAAAGATAAACACATGCAATTTGCAGCAACATGGATGGCGCTGGAAGGGATCATGCTCAGCGAAATAAGCCAAAAAGAAAAAGAAAAATACCGGATGGTCTCACTCATAGCAGGAATCTAGAAAACTTAAATAAGGGACCAGGAAAATGAATAACTATAAGAAAGTGAAAATCAAAATCAACAAAAATCTATGAACCAGAGACACTTTTTGGGGGGTGGGGGGCGGGAGGGGAAGGATTGGGGTCAGAATGGGGCGTTTGCAATTGTATGGGGGAATATAAAAATAAAATTTATTAAAAAAAAAAAAAAAGGAAGAGTTATATAAGTGAATAGCAGAAACTTCAATAAAAATAGTTTCAGTGTTTGCTTTTGGGGAATAAGATTTGTTGTGTGAAAAAGGTTTGGTGAATGCCATGTCCACTGTAAGTTTAGTACACAATTTGACTTTTGAAACTTTGCGCAGTTATTACATCAATTAAAAATGAATTATATTAAATTTGCATCAAGTTAAATTACGTAAAAATTACAATGAAATTAGTCCCTTCTTCTCTTCCAGATAATTAAATCTAAGAATGCATGGAGATGAACTTGCAAACTATCAAGTGCTATATAAGCACTGCACTTTTATTTTATGGAGTCACTGTCCCATTGACTTGACTTATGTTTCTTGTTTATTCATTCTAAAACTTTTCCATGTATTCTGGAGTTATGTAGAACTCCCCAGTCTGTATTTTCTCTCAAAACCTTTGCGATGTGGTTCCCAATTCTATGTAAATTGAAAAAATAGATTATAGATCTACTTTATTCCTCTTTCTTAGATCAGCTATAGTGTGAAAAGAAAAATAAGAATATTTCACCAATATTGAAGCAAACTGGTACCTAGTCCTCTAGAGAGAACTGCTTTATTGAATTAGTTTTGTATTATGGAACAATGAATGAAGCTTAATTCTATGTATTTCTATATATTTCTATAACCTATACTTAATGTAATCCTATAATGAGAATTATGGTGTTTGTAATATAGGTTGTATGTATTAAGCCATTTTTAACTTGTGGCTTTTTGTATTATGACTTCCACATTTAATTTTATTTGGATGAGACACAAAGTTAATGGGGGGGGTCTCACTGATCTAATGAGGGTCTCCTTATTTTATGGGTGAATAATGATTAACCTTGATCTGAATGCCTGGTTATCTGATGGCTGACTTAGAAATTATGGAAATGATAGTGAATAGTTCTATTTACTGTGTTGGCACGGCTGTTAATACTGCCAACAAATTTGAGAGAACCACAGAAGGATCGATTTCATGCTAACTTGAAGACAGTAACTTGCAACTTCCATTTATAGCAGGAATTTAACAATTCAGATCATTTGGACGAACAATCTAATTTAACTCTCTTCACTCAGGGAGCTAACAGAATGAGAGGTCGGCTCGGAAGCATGGACAGCTTTGAAAGAGCCAACAGCCTTGCTTCAGAGAAGGTATCTAATAAGGGTTCCTTTTTCACTGCTAATTGCAACTTGGCAAAAACCAACACTGATACGGTAATATGACTTTCTAGTTATCTTATTATGGGTCCTTTATGACTTTTAAAACAATTAATATTTGAGGTTTATTACCTTAAGTAAGAAGCTGCTGGGTATTGGCTAAGTATTTAGCTCTTCATTTAGCTGAGGTTCTTGTATTGGGACAGACAGAACACTGTTTCCCGCCAGCCTGGCTGTCGCTTTTGGGGTTTTTGCTGTTTTGAGATACTTTACTCTGGGAGGACAGTAATTATTAGTAATAAGTAGTAATTAATGTTGCTCCGAAGCCATAGAAAAGTGAGGCATGTCATGGCTGCACTTTTGGAGTGATCTTTACAACTTTTATTCTCTTCCCATGTTAATTTTATTCCCCCACCTTTTTTTTTACTTTTATTTATTTATTTTTTACCATTTTAACTGCAACACAAGGCTCTTCGTTATCACCTAGACAATTCTCAGTAGGTTTGGTTTCCTGTTTCCTGTACCATGCAACATGTTACCTGAGGTGTATGTGACCCTTTTTTTTTTTTTAAATGGGAAAATACTAAAATGTTTTTACTACACATTGAGGGAATTGAGGACTAAACCAGCAGTGAGTCTATTAGCCCTAGCCCTTGTTTATCAAGCTAGACAATTCTACAATGCGCCTGTTCTGGGAAGCATAAACAGCCTACCTGTCTGGACTGAAAGATTTATGATGTCTACCCATGCAACACGAGATGCGTTCCCGCATAGCTCACTTTTCATTCATTTCCTGTTTTTCATGTCTTTTAAAAAATTTTACCTCAGGGACCATGGAGTTGGATAGAAACATCCACAGTGAAGGAAGATACTTAACAGGCTTTATTTTATTTTCCTGGAGGCTGTGCCATGAGATTTGAACACTTACGCATTGTGATATTGTTTTGACAGTACAGGAAACATGCAGCTGATGTGTCACGGAAATCAGTCGATATGTAAAACACAGGCTCCACCCTCTTTTGGTCCCGATCTTTATTCATCTTTGTTACAACACTGACAAAAATACAGTAGCTGTAGCATTTTAACCACAAAGCTTTAGGGGAAAGGATACCTTTCTTATCCTCCCTTTTACTTTCTGGGCTATCTTTACGGATGTTGTCTTACAGCTGCTTATCAGAAGTGGTTTGTGGTGATACTGATTAGCCTTCTGCATGGATTGAGTAAAAAAAAAAAAAAAAAAAGTTTTGTCATGACTCAGGAGGAAGAAGAAGCACCCTGTTACTTTTGAGCTCTGTGTTGAAGCAGATCTGCCATGATCCCTTAGGAAGGAGAGACTCACTCTTCCTTGCCTTTTAGGATTGTTCACCAGGAGACTCGCCACCGGGGACTCCACCAGCCTCCCCACTGTCCTCAGCTTGGCACACGTTCCCCGAGGAGGATTCTGACTCCCCACAGTTTCGAAGAAGGGCACACACGTTCAGCCACCCACCTTCGAGCACAAAGAGAAAGCTGCATTTACAGGATGGGAGGGCCCACGGGGTACGCTCTCCTCTTCTGAGGCAGAGCTCCAGCGAACAGTGCAGGTGAGTCCAAAACCTCTCTCTGGAATGTGACATAAAATTCTCTTGTCACTCTGTGTTGATCTCGGTGGAGTCAGGAAGTATTGTAGCTTCATGCTGTAGCCAACACTTGAGTTTTTGGAAAGGCCATAAAAATACATTGAATTATAAAAACCACAGTTCCTAGGTAAATGAGGCAAGATTTAAAGCATACCCAAAGAGAAGAGATTAAATATGTTGCATGGAAATATTTACCCCCCCCCCAAAAAAAATGGAGACAGGTTATCATACAGTTGTTTTGTTGGAAAAACCTGCTGACAACACGTTTTTTGCTGTCTTCTGACTGATGGCTCTGCTGAAACAAAGTCAGCAAATTCAAGAATAAGATATCAGTAGCACATCCTGTTAGCCTGCTATAAAATACAAGGGTTAAAAAGATCACCTAATTTTACCTTCACCTATGTGATAAAATTTGACTGTATTTTTATTTCATAATAAATTAAAACCAAATATAAAAATTGTTAAAATTTTTATCCAGAATAAAAAACTATACATTACCCTAGTTGTCAGAATGTGGTCATAAGAAATTATCTTACATAGTATTTAAAAAATAATTTTATAAAATTATTTGGCATTTGGGAAGGGATATTAAAGGGGCTAAACCTGGGTTGGGCATTTGATTATGCTTCTTAATGTGTAGCACAAAACAGAATTTGTATCGCAGGAATAATTTTATTTCTCCTCCTTACATGTGAGTTTGGCACAGGAAGCAGGATTGTATCATGAATTCATAAGTAAAAATAGGATAAATTTTTATATTGGCAGTTATAAAATTTACTACCATTTTTTCCAGGTTACAATTTTATTATTGTTTTTGAATCTCTAAGTTTGGGATAAAAAATAAGATATTTAGGATATATAAAAATAAATCAATACATTATTTCTTTTCAGATGCTTTTTTGTAAAAATAAAAAAAAGTGGAGTATTCATGTATATATCAAGTCTTTGTATGATCACCTCATTTATATTTATCTGAGGCAATAAATCTCCTTTTTTCCAATTAAAACATTAATTATTTTAGATTATTATAAATCCAGTCAATGTTACTACATTTCATAATATAGAAGCTCATATTATCTCTATCAATGTTAAGAGATGCATTTTGTTTCATTGTGAAACTTGCTACAGAAAGAATCTTCTAAGAAAAAGAATTATGTAGGAAATTGAGGGATTTGGATAAAATCCTGTCTGCACAATCCCATAGGCTGCAGCAAAGAACATGGACATTAATGTTTGTCAAACCAAATGTGTTATGATGACTTCCAATAACCATACATGCTGTTCTTGAATTTTTGGAAGGGTTTATATCTTTAACATACTTAAGTCTTTGAACTACTGATAATCAGTTTTTCCTTCTGGAGTTTGTTTCCTGTAATTATTGTGCTTTACTACTTTTTTCCCTTTGAAGTATCTTTTGCATATAAGAACAGACACTTTTTGTCTGAAAATTGTTAAGAATTTTATAGAGATAAACACATGTGGTTCGAAATACCACGTAGATGAGCTCAATTTATGAAAGAGTGAAACTGGTCATAGTTATCTAACTAGAAAAGTGCATGCTCCTTTTTTTCCCCAGATAAGATCCAGTCCTAAGCCTTTCAAACAATGATTAAATTAATAGCAAGAACCTGTTTATATGCTTTTTCATAGTGCTGAAATATAAATTAAGACAAATTTGCTGTATTTTCTGTATTCAGCATTCTTCCATCAGTTCGGCGCATGCACAAGGAGAGTAATTCTTCCTCCAGTCTTCCAAGTCTTCACACTTCCTTCTCTGCCCCTTCCTTCACTGCCCCCTCTTTCCTGAAAAGCTTTTACCAGAATTCAGGTAGACTGTCCCCACAGTATGAAAATGAAATCAGGTGAGATCAGTGTCCTCTGTTTGCAAAGCAAAATGTTTTGCAGTGATATACTGATATATTACTAAAATGTGCCTAATTCATTTTGGAGTGACATTTACACATCTTTACATTGTGCTTGTTCTAATCTGTTTCTAATTGTGTTGGTTGCAGTTCCAATTAATGTTATTAAGAAAACTTTAAAATCAGTGTTTTAGAACTTTTAAAACTAACTTTCTGATTCCATAATTATCTTTTTAAATTTTTTGGGGGGAGTACTTTTTGTGTGCTTCTTTGCAGTGGGTCCCAGGGTATAAGCTTTGTTTTTTGGAAGGAACAAAACCTGGTACTAATACATACTAAGCAAATTGGCCTTGATCAAAACTTTCTTTTCTTAGCCTCTGTGTACATATCTTTTTTTTTTTTAAGAGTTGGACTTTTTTTTTTTTAAAGATTTATTTATTTATACAAGTACTGGGGTACAGGCCAGAGGTGCAGGAGGGTGAGAGAATTCACCAGTGACAGAGCAGGGTGCAGAACAGGCAGAAGGGCCGAAAACACTGCTGAGGGGAGCAGTGGGTGAGGCAGGAGAGGTCTGCTGCGCCATGTGGGTGTCTCCCTGGCTGGCTGGGAATCAAATCAGAGCTGCAGATGCTGCGGACAGCTTCAGAACACTGTGCTTAACCCACTACGCCACTGGGGAGGCCCTCTGTGTACATACCTTATGAAAGTTAAAGGCCACTTATTTAAACAACTGTAATAAAGTGATGGGTCAGATATATCTGTTTTTAAATTTATAGAATATTATATAGGCATTTATTTGATTATCAATGACATAGACTTACTTTTCTGAATCTCAGTGTGCATCACACAATGGATACAGAATCATGTTGACAGTAACTCTTTCAGATAGCCTAATAGATCTTTTGCATTTTCTAGACCTTTGATTTTGTATCCAGTATTGAAATGAATAGCCTATTAAGTTATATTTGCTTTTTCAACTACACAAGTTAGATTTAGTCATTTTTGGAGAATTGCTTTTTCTTAACATTTGAAATTATGAGATCTTATTGACTATTTAAATTCTTAGTGTGCTGTTAGTAACCTTTAGAAAGTGTTAGGATAAATTAAGAACTTTTCTAGGGGACAGTTGTTGAGTTAGAAGTTTGTGAGATTTATTTCTGATTTTTTGTAGAATCTGATTATTCATTTTCATCACTGTATAGTATTCCATTTAATACAAGAAACTTTGCTCTCATTGATGGACATTTGGGTTGTTCCTGGTTGTTTGACAATTGGCAATTCTTGGTAGTCAACAAGAGGTATACATGCTATCAACTAGTCTGTATGCCTATTAAATTTTTGGTGGGTATTTTTTTGGCTTCCTTTTTTTTTAGGCTTAGGAAATCCCCAAGTTAGCATGCAACTAGGTGATCCTCAATTATTAGTTACATTAGACTAATCTTTGAATTGTGTCTGTATATTGTTTGTCCATGTGTGCCATTTTTTTTCATTCTAATACTAGATCAATAAAATTTTGAATCTAAACTTTCCCTGAACTAGAACAAACTTGAGTAATGAGGAAGCATGAAGAATTGACTTCAAGGTGTTTTTCAGGAACAAGTTTGTGGGAGAAGATTTAAAGAAAGTTAACAAAATATTATATATGGAGCAAGAAATGAATTAGAGAACCAAGAATGCACACATGTAAAAATATCAGTTTGCCTTATCTCTATTGTAGCATTTATTAATAAGAATACAGCACTTTTAATGAAATCCATTTGCAGTTTCTTACTGTTGTGTTCATTAAAAGTGAGTTTCTGGAGAATCCCAGTTTCCTTACTAAAACAAAGTGACAATCAGGAATAACCTTTAAGAAGGTAAAAGGTTGTAGACTATAAATGAAGTGACTTTCATTTGAAGATTAGTTTGGTGTTTAATATAAGGTTATCTAGTCATCTTTAGTAGTTTCTGCTTCAAGATAATTATTATTCTGCTCATATGTTTCCTTAGCCCTCTACATCTCAGCCCTAATAGTATAAGATTGAAGTCAGAGGGCAAATATAGTTTTCATTAAAAAATTATTTTTGTAGGTATCTTATTTGAAGAGCTAGACTTACTGCATTTAGAGAACTTTAAATTTGTAGGATCTATAAAATTCACCTTATTTTCTGTAATTTCTAATGTTTTCTTGGCTGAGAAATTCTAAAATTGCCTCTCTTTCTTTATACTTTTGTATACTTTTTTGCAATTTGACAATATAAAATTAGTAGGCCAGAAAGATTGATTAAAAAGTATACTGGGGCCTCCCCAGTGCCATGGCGGGTTGAGTGCAGCGCTATGAAGCTGTCTGCAGCCTCTGCAGCACAGGTTTGATTTCCTGTCAGCTAGGGAGATACCCACATGGCATGGCAGACCTCTCCTGTCTTGCCCGCTGCTCCCCTCAGCAGTGCTTTTGGTCCATCTGCCTTTTCTGTTCCCCACTCTGTCTCTGATGATTCACCCTCCCACACCTCTGGCCTGTACCCCAGTTCTGGTGTGCATAAATAAATAAATCTTTAAAAACAAAACAAAACATTGATAAAAAAGTACACCTGTCATGAGCTCATAGCCCAGTAAATCATCGCAGTGAACCACTATATCACCCCCACCCAGGTCCTCAATAGAATGTTAACAGCATCCCTGCAAATTTTCTCATTTTCCCTTCTATCACTACCCCTCATCCTGACCTCCAGTATCATGATTTAAGTTTGCCTATTTTTAAACTTTACATAAATGGAATGATACAGCATGCATTCTTTTATATCTGACTTCTTTCACTGAACATTCACATGGCAGATTTGTTCTTGTTTTTATGCACATTTCAACTCATTTATTTTTTATTACTGTATAGTATTACCTTTAGTATATCACAACTTACTCATTCTTTTTGTCAATGGACATGTGGGTTATTGCTAGTTTTTTTTTTTTTTTTTTTTTTTGGCTGTTAAGAGAGTGCTGTGCTGGATATTATTGTGTATATTTTTAGTTGTACATCCCTGTGCATTATTGATGACAAGTAACACATGTTAGTAGTGAAAGTGTTGGCAAAATTTACTTTTAATAGGCTTATTTCAGCTAGTAAAT